GGAGTGAGTCTGTACTTTTGACAGAATTCTGCATCAGAATCAATCCCAACAATTTGATCGGTACCTTCAACTAAATATTTGTGTGCTTCTGCACTCATTGTGTACTTTCATAACAAATCAGGAAAAATAAAATGCAATGTATTAATCATAACACTGTAGTCGCTGACTTCAAATGAAATGGCAAATCATGGCAGTAATATCAATACCTTCTAGATTTTGGAAGGACAGATAATAAGCTCTAACTCGGGTTCTTTCAAAAGCCTGCCTTGTGTGTATACATTTTTTTTGCTAACCCACAAGAAATAAAAGCCCTCCAGTAAGGCGCTTCTCGGATGGCCCGAAGGGTAAATCTAGTTTCTTGAAAAAATTGATGTCTAACGGTAAGAGCAGCGCTCCTCACACTGACCTTACAATGCATTCTAGTCGTATATCGGGAATATCTTCCGTATCTTATGTTATATTATTTATGGGGAGATGTTTTCAATATACAGTATGATGGGGCTGCAAAATCGGTGTGAGGTGCATTCTATGAGGAGCAAATCTTGATTCTAACATATCAGCACTTTTTTTCCAAAAAATCATAGAAGGGGAGGTAACTGTGCATTTTCTCAAAATTATAATGGAGGTTTTTGTTATTGCCCAAGGGGAGATTGTTATATTCCATCCTATTCTATCTTATATAAAGTATAATATTGGGAATTATCTTAAAATATCCCCAATTTTAGGAAATAGACTAAAACTTTTTCTATGTTTTCTGATAATTAAACAAGTGTTTGGCACCGGTGCTGAGAATATCGCACCGTTTTCTCATTAAAACAGTGTTGGGCATATGGAGTTGTAAGTGCTTATTTTTTGTTTGAAACTGATGTTGTCACATAGGCATTTTTTGAGAAAACAGTACTGGTTTTGTTTGGTACTAGTGTTGGCAGCAACATTTTCAACATTGTACATTATCCAAGGTCCAAGATGATGTCACATCATTGCACCGCTGGCAGCAATGCATCGTTTTCTCGAAAAACATTGAATTTGGCATTGCTCCAGACCACACTTTCTCAATTTCCAAGGCGTGGTCTGGAGCAACATTTTTTTCTGAAAAAACGGTACCAAACAAGAGGGCGTTATTTGAAGCAAGGCTTAAAATATTGCAATGTATCGGGCTATATCAGCCAATACGTACCATTCTGATAAGAACCAGATACACAGAACGTGTAAGAATAATTTTTTTTGTTTCTTTATGTATGTATCGGTTGTATCGACCAATGCAGATCCGAGACAACCTGATACAAACCAAAACGTTTCAGCTCCCCCTCTTCCATTAATTTCGTTAATTTATATTTAATACTGAATCTCTCTCATTATTGTTGTTTGTAATTCCTATATTTAAGTCTAACTTCTCCTTCATTAATTATTCCTATATTTAAGGCAAATTTAAATTCAAATTTGAATTTTAGCACCTAATTACAGTTCTCTCATTTTTTCCATTAATTAATCATCCTCTCTCATTAATTTTGTTTTGTTAGTATAATAACAAGACTTCAATCCTGGTCACTAGATTTAAACGCCCATAATTTTGCCGCTAAGCCACTCCGGTTTGTTTGTTGTAATTATATGCATTTTTAGTTTTAAGTAAAATTTATCTTTTCTTAGTGGTGCTTATCAATAAATGTTGAAATTAGTTATTAAAATTTATATACTAATAAATATTAAGATAAATTATATTGGTTATTTGAAAATTGATGTATATACATTCACATTTTAGTTTTTTTATTATTTTTTTCACATATTAGATATTCCATCATTTTCAACAGTTACTAATTATATCTTGACATGTCACATTTTATATAAGTATTAAATTATGATTTTTTACATTTAAATGATTTATTTACAATCGTATAAAACTTGTAAGTATTGTTAATAATATACTTTTTTATAATTCATTTGAATTTTCTAGCATATTTATGCGTATATTGATTTTTTGTCTGTATCCATGCATATTCAAAACGTATCCGGATACATCTCTTAAAATTATCTTTCCGATACACTTTGCATTTCCGATATTTTAAACCTTGGTTTGAAGCACCACTTTCTCTTATATGACGCCTACGTGACACCATTTTATCAAAAAACAACATTGATGCCAACCACCCACTAAATATCTCTCTACCATTAGTGTGTGTCACAATCCAATTGCATGTAGCCATGTAATAATACCACGTGACTTACATAATTTTTAAAATTTCAATTTTACCCTTTTATGGTTGAAAATGCCCCTCATCCTTGACCCCTTAGAGAACTCAAGAACCTACCTTATTTTCTCTTTTTTCTCAGGCTCCCTTTTAGCGTTGGAAGCTTCTTCTTCTTCTCTGTAAACATTTGTCTCTCACAAGAGAAACCCAATTCCGAAGCTAAAGCTGTAAAGTGAGAAGCAATCGAGCCGTATTGATTCACCGTTTCAGTTGCAAAAACAGAAGAGAGGAAGAAGTCGGAACGGATGAAATACGCCTGATATCTCCTAGTGGAATACAACCCAGAACGGTGAAAATGCTCCCACTGGGATCAATTCAATGGGAAACTTTTACAAAATCCTAAGAATGAATGAAATAAACTTGTCTACCTGTGAAATGCAACCCATCTATCAGAAAGTTTTGCAACAACCCTGAATGAATGAAATTCAAAGTCCCAACCATAAACTTGGGATGTGAGTTTTATGGCCAAGTGACAGTCACCACCTGCATTGGTTTGTTTGTACTCAATTAAAGCAGCCCAAAAGCAATGGCAAACTGGTTTCAGATGCAACCTTCCAACAATTAAAAAATAAAGCCCATCTTTCTCAACCCAAGTTTATTAGTCAATTCCCTCAGAAGAGCACATTGATTGCCTTCTCAACTCTTGGCCACTGGATTGACTCCGGATCACCTGCCAACAAAATAAATTCCAACAGCCTACAAAACATGATTTCACTCTGCACATCTCATATATGGTGGGTCCCAGTCTCATGATGAGATGTGCGGTGTTATATCAAGTTGGTAGAAGGTTAGAACGTGTTTTGTTGGCAAAAGATCCCAATTCTATTGGATTTGCATGAATTCGTAGAATCCAAATCCCACTCTGATTCTGGATCTATTACCTACAAACAACGTTTTAAAAAATGACCCAGAGACGGAATCGTTCTGGCCACCGGTTTTTTGATCGACGATCCGACCATCTGTTTCAAACAGATGGCTTGTTCTGACAAACAAATTAAAAATAAATAAATAAAAAAGTCAAAACTGTTGAATAGGTCACAGTTCGACCATCTGGGTCAATGGGTTAACTTTTCAACAGTTTTTTACCAAAGACCGAGTTTGGGGTAAAACAGAACCAGTTGCCTGGACAGTTCCTGGGCCAAATGGTCCAACCATCCAGATCAACAGCAGTTCGAAAACCTTGCCTACAAATTGTTCCCACATCCTACCCACAGAACACCATTGTGTATTGGAAACATCTCACCATGAATGACAAGGGAGATATTCCCAATGCGTAACTGTAATGTCATGTGGGTAGGGATGCTGGAACAGCCTATGGGTAGCAGATCCGAGCCCTCCAAAGCCAACCTCCCCTCCTTACCCGGTTTCTCTCTTTATAAGATAAGCCCAAGACCTCCCTCCATTTCTTCACAAACCACATCAATTAAAGTTCTGAAAACTCAGAAAACACAAATCCTCTTTAATCACGATTTTGTTTGCTCTCTCTCTCTCTCTCACACACATATTATTGCTGAAGCGGGTGAAATTGGAGAAGGAAGTGAAACTGAGGCCCGAAACTCCATATTGAAAATTTGAAGAATAATGGAGGAGAAAAGCAGTTTCAAACTTTCAATTCAGCAGTCTTGCTTTTTTAACCTGCTTTGACTTAAGCACTTAGTTGCTTAAGTCGATAAGTTCATCAATCAAATAGTCATCGAATAGTTGTCTAATTATTAATAAGATATAGGTTGTGACCATTCGAACCCTTGGGTAAATTCCATTTCAACAAGTATTGGTTACAACTCTATTGTAATAATGCTACAAGAAACAGGGGAAAAGAAGACCAAGTAACTTAGCTAGCTGCAGCATTATATTCTGAAGAAAAAAGAAACCGATACTATTAAGGCAAGCAAGTAACTTCTGCAATCTCCAATTAGGATACTAATCAACTAGTGGTTCAATATTACCATCTACAGAATATCTGTAATAATTTTTGCATAGCCTTCAATATCCAAGTTGAAGGCCATTTTTTATCCTTCAAGAAAGGAGTGGCCTGGAGCTGTCGATGGGTCAGGTCTCTTGACAGAACCAAACCAATCAAACCGATTGTGTCAGTTCTGGATCTATTGTTTTATCCTGATTAATAATTGGGTTGGGACTTGGGACCAGCTTTTGCTGTTTCGAACCAACTTTGGACCCAAAACAATCATATAATGAATAAAATCTAAAGATAAAGATAGCCTAGCTTTTTTGTAGTTTTGTGATATTTTATATCTAAAAGGGTAAATTTTATAAAAGGTATATAAGATAATTATGGTTAAAAAATCATATTTTATCAGCATATAAACAGTTTAGTATTTTACTGTCAATTTATTAAGGTTATATTATCAAAAATTAAGTTCCAAGTTATTATTATCATTGGTAATTATAGATGTCAATTGTCAAGTATAATCAGGTCTAATCGGCTCAAACCTGATGGTCTGATTATAGTCCCGATTAATAATCATAATGGGACTGGTACACCATGTCCCAAACCAGACCCAACCTATTGATAGCCCTACTACTTTTATGAACTCAACAATACTCTGTCAACAACACTATTTATCTCATCTTGTTTACAAAGCAAGTCAGATTGGTTGAAACAGAACTTCTGAAGCTCATATACTGCAATTCGATCCCAAGGTTACATTCAATACATACTTTGATAAAGTGACCTTGTCATTGAAAACAAAAGGAAAATTAAAAAAAAAAATTGTAGTTATTTTTAATACCAAATACAAACTAATCCTTCCAAATGACTATATACATAAAAAAATAACAGAATTTCTTTCCATTTGTTTCCTTCCATGTTTCATATGCTAATTGAAAGTAGTGAGGAAACCCCAATGAAAAAGATTATTGTACATTACCACAGATACCTTCATTCATTCCAGTTACAGGAAAATCTACACCGTATACATCACCTACAATACACGATATGCAATTGAACCATCTACAGTCTCCACAACTAACCGATTCATACGTAACAACAGCAAGAGATAAGATCTTCCTTTTGGCCCTGAAACAAACACGCAAAAATACCAGCTTGAGTTACTAATCCATCAACCCAGTAAAAACTGATCTAGCAATGAACTCAACCACCGATGACTGGTTTTGATTCTTAAGGCCTCATCCAGCAATAAACTCAACTACTATTCCATCATCACTGCATCACCAAACCCAACAACTTATGATATACCCTTGACAAGACCAGTAACACAAGAACTGATCCAGCAATCAACTCAACCATTGCTGGCAGGTTTTGATTCTTGAGAGGCCTCATCCAGCAATAAACTCAACTACCAGTCCATCATCAACACACGCCTAAAACCAATAATTTATGATATACCATTAGTGACTAGAACAGTACACCCAAGGCACCAGGGATAAAAATGACACCAACTTTTGGTTCACTAGTATCCCTTGGACGGCCAAGCCAAATGGCAGCCTGGGCACAAGATCCTTAGTCATATCATGTCTAAATCTTAGCTCAGATAGGTTCATAGGCAGCCAATGTAACATGTGTATTACAAATTCAATGTGCATATTAAATCTAGGATATAGATACTAGAAACAGATCATGACCTGAAGGCCAGCTAGTATGCATAAAACAATCACAAACTCCCTTTCTCCTTTCCCACTCTAAATTTGTGGACCAATGTCTGAAACTTTAAAAACAATTTTTACAGTCACAAAAGTATATGATAGAATCTAAGTTTCAGATGCAATGAAATACAGACCTAACCCCATGGATGCAAGTTCATCTTGGTGGAATAAGTTGCCTGCATTTGATTTCTCATGTTTGGTTAGGGTTGAGTTCATCTTCATAACGGCTGCATGCAGATCCTGAAAAGATAACATTTAGAATGTTGTAATCAACATAAAAAATCAAGGAACTGGTTTTACACAATTCAGAAATGTAAGAATTTGAGCACATAAGAAATTGTCTTGGGTGTTGAGTACAAGCCGATTTGAATGTGTTTTAATAATGCAACAGTAAGCACCAATTATGCATTATGTTAAGAAAAACCGTGGTTTTCTAAAATCAGAATATCCGAGAAAAGTTCTTGGTTCAATCTGCACTGGTTTCGGTCCTAGGGTAAGGGAAAAAGAGAATAGAAGGAGAACAGAAAGAGAATAGAATGAGAGAACTAGAAGAGAAACAATTTGGTTCAGCTGGAGAGCACAATAGACATAACACCAATTAATAAAACAAGGTAAAAGGACTAAAATACCCCTTAACTGCCGACTAACAAAAAGCAACTTAATTTCCACATAGATGTTTACAGAAAACTATGAAGTGAAATATGGTTAAAATATGTCTATAGGATAAAAGGAGCACAATTTTAACCCACAAAACCCCCGTCAGAAAGTGAAAACCCTACCGACCACATGCTTTGGCATGCAAATGAATTTCCACCAAAAAAACACTAATCACATATTTAGAATGAAAATATAGCATTTTAGTATAAAACCATAAATATACTTGTTTCTAACCATCTAATATCATCATCATTATCTAACCCTTGTCTGAACTATATGGGGTCAGCAGTCGGCTACAAGGATCCTGTTTTGCCATTCCATTCTGTTCAGTGCCATATCATCCATTAAATTATGGGCACTTAAATCATTTATTATTAGTTTATTACTTCCAAGTTCCACCCAAATCCTTTTTGGTCCACCCCTAGCTCTTCTAGCATCTTCAACTTTTAACAAATCTTTTTGTTTTTTTCTAATGGGTGCTATAGATGGTCTTCTATGTACATGACCAAACCATTTCAATATTCTTTCTCTCATTTTATCGCCTATTGAAGATACTACTAGGTTCCTTAGTATGGCTTCATGTCTAACCCTGCCCTTTCTAGCTTTACCACTTATCCACCTAGGCATTGGCATTTTTGCCACACTCATTTTTTTTGAACATGATGTTTCTTAACCACCCAACACTCAGATCCATACAACATAGCTGCCCTTACGACTATTTTATAAAATACTCCTTTTGGCTGTGTTTGGTTTGAAAGAAAAGGTAAGGAAGGTAAAGGTAGGGAAACATGTACCCCTCCATTTTGCCCATCCTGTTCTAATTCTATGGGTGGCATCCTCCTCGATCTCTCCTTTATTATTGTTAAAGTGTGCCGAATAGGGATAGTTTAGTCTTCTTATGTTTATTAAGTAGCTTGCTTATGTGGCAGTGTTATTAGAGTCACTCTGCCCCATCCTGTTCTAATTCTATGGGTGGCATCCTCCTCGATCTCTCCTTTATTATTGTTAAAGTGTGCCGAATAGGGATAGTTTAGTCTTCTTATGTTTATTAAGTAGCTTGCTTATGTGGCAGTGTTATTAGAGTCACTCTGCCCCACACTTAAGTAAGGGCATTTTTGTCTTTGTAAAGATTATTAGAGTCTAATATAGATTAAGGGGGTCGACTGTATGGGTAATCCATGAGATTTCGACAGACCCTTCTTCTTCTTCTTCTCTTCTTCTTCTTCTTCTTCTCTTCCTGGTTCGGACTATTGTAGCACCAATCAAAACATGGTATCAGAGCCAGGTTCCTAACCTACTTCAGTTGGTAAAGCACCTCAGCAGTGTTCGTGACTCTTCTCTTTCGTTTCTAGTCAGTCAATGGAGAGAACTGGTTCGCCCTAGGTCAAAAACATCACAGCTCGTCTCTCTCTGCTGCGCATAACCTTCTTCAGCAAGGAAAGTGACTTCAGCAGTGAATGGTTGGTTGATATTCTCAAAGGAAGGTCGGTTATCTCTTCTTCTAGTGTTACTGATATTTCTGGGTAGAAACCCTACAAGAAGCTGTTAGTATTGATTTGGAACCTAGAGAACTAGGTTCATTGTTGCCCAAGAAAGGGCTGTGTGTGCAGTAGTCGAATGGTGTAGGGCTGCTGTGAGTTGTTCAATGGTGTTAGGGCTGTTGTAAGTGGCCGAATGGTGTAAGGTGGAATGCAGTGACCTTGCCGAGCTCTTTAACAAGTCTGAACTGGGTGTAGCAGATTTGACTGTGTTATGGTGTTTGTGATGCACAATTTTTTTTTATTGAGTGGTTGTAAGAGGGCCTACTTGTGATTAGTGAGTGGTAATTTGATGCTTATGTGGGTCGTAGGTGTGTGAAGTCARCAGTAGTGTGAATAAGAACAAGTGTGTGCTCCCACTGTTGTGTTTAGGGGCTGCAATAGGTGCTGAAGTATCAAACTGTGAACAACATCAATCAGCTTGTAGCTGAGAAGTAAGGTTAAAGGTAACTGTGAATGAGTACAATGGCAGCAATAGGAGATGGGAACAATGATCAGAAACCTAGTGTGGTAATTTCCCCCAACTACCTAGAGGTACAAATGACCTCAATTAAGCTGAATGGGGAGAACTATGTTCCACGGGCTAAATCAGTGGAAGTTTTTCTCAAGGCAAAGAAGAAAGTAAAGTATGTAAGAGATGAGAAGCCATCAGAGGACTCTCCAGGGTTTGATGATTGGGAACAAGAAGATGCTCAAATCATGACTTGGCTGTGGAATAGTATGGAACCCAAAATTAGTGCCAACTTCATGTTCCTTGATACGGCTAAGGATATATGGGAGCATGCTAAGAAGCTATATTCTGGACAAGATAACACAACAAGAGTATATCAGCTTTATCAGGAGTATTTTGATTTACAACAAGGAACCAAAACACTAGAAGAGTACTATGCCAGCATGAAGAATATAAGGAATGAACTCAATGTCTATCACCCCCTTACTCCARATATTAAAGTTCAGCAACARCAAAGGGARCAACTAGATGTTACAAGATTTTTAGTGGGGCTGAAGTCGGAATATGAACCAGTTAGAGCCCAAATATTGGGGGGCTCTACTCTTCCTACACTTGAGGAAGTATTCTCAAGGCTTCGTAGAATTTCTTTGGGACAGACTGAGAACCCCACACAGTCTGATAGATCAGCACTTGTGACAGCTAGAGAAGGTGGACATAGTACAAGAGGGGGGTGGTCATGCTCCCAGTGGAGGCCGTGGCAATTCCATGATTGGTCGAGGTGGCCGTGACTCAGGGGGAGGCCGTGGCAGAGGAAAAAATAACTCTACAAGGAAGTGTACTCATTGTGGTAGGGAAGGACACATAGTGAATTTCTGTTATGACCTACATGGCCCTCCCTCTAAATGGGCTAATCATGTTGTAGCAGGCGAGGTTGATATCAGTGACAGTAAACTGGCATACCGAACTCCTCCCACATCTACATCTACTTCTGGGAGGGAGATGGTGAGTGTACTGCGTGATGGGTATGAACGGTTCCTTCAAACTACTTCACAGAATACCACTGCCACACTTGCCCAATTAGGTATTGCTTGCATGTCATCTAAAACTCGTTCCTGGATTATTGACTCTGGAGCCTCAAATCATATGACCGGGACTCCAGGTGTRTTCTCTTCTCTTTCTGAAACCTCCACATCACAAACTGTTACATTTGCCAATGGGTCCTCATCTCCCATCTGTGGTGTTGGTAATGTTGACATGGCTTCTATCCCCTTATCATCTATTTTATATGTACCTAAGTTTCCATTCAATCTTATGTCTGTTAGTAAAATAACCAAAGCTCTTAACTGTTCTGTTACCTTCTTTCCTTCCACTTGTGTTTTTCAAGATCTCAAGACGAGGAAGATGATTGGTAGGGGGCATGAAGCTGATGGATTGTATTACCTTGATGGTGGTGGATCTTCAATTGCACTTCAGACTTCCCTTACTCCTCTACAATGGCATTGCCGACTGGGACATCCATCTCTCAAGGTTCTCAAGATGTTGATTCCGTCATTGGGTCAGTTGTCAGTTTTACAATGTGAGTCATGTCAGTTTGGTAAACACAGTCATGTGTCCTTCAGTCCAAGAGTTGAAAGTCGTATGTTGAGTCCTTTTTCTTTGGTTCATTCAGATGTTTGGGGTCCAATCAAAATAGTCTTATAATGGGTACAAGTATTTTGTCTCCTTTATTGATGATTGTTCAAGAATGACATGGATTTACTTAATGAAAGAAATAAGTGAATTATTTTCCATTTTTCAAAAATTYCATGMTGAAATAYGYACACARTTTGGTGTTCCAATCAAAGTTCTCCGTTCAGATAATGGTCATGAATACTTTCTTACTTCATTTCAACAATATTTAGAACAGCATGGCATTATTCATCAGACCTCATGTGCTTTCACCCCTCAACAAAATGGGGTGACTGAACGGAAGAATCGTCAACTTCTTGAAATTGCTCGGTCTATGCTTCACCACACGAATGTTCCTAAACGGTTTTGGAGTGATGTTGTACTCACTGCATGTTTTCTCATTAATCGAATGCCCTCTTTTATTCTTCATGGTCGGTCCCCCTTCTCTATCTTGTTTCCCACTTTATCTCTGTTTCCATTAACTCCTCGTGTCTTTGGTTGTGTGTGCTTTGTCCACAATCCGAGTCCTGGAATAGACAAGCTAGATGCACGCTCAATTAAATGTGTCTTCCTTGGCTACTCTCGAACTCAAAAAGGGTACAAGTGTTATAATCCCATTACCCGAAAGTGCCATGTCTGCCCCGATGTCACCTTTTTTGAGTTTATCCCCTTCTTCTCTAGTCATAAAGCACCCTTGTCTTCACCCTTACCTCCTCTTCCTCTTCCTGTCAGTGATCCAGTTCCAGAGGTTGTTGTTGGAGTAGACTCACCACCTCATCCAGTGCAGGTTACCATTGAACGACCACCGATCCGACAAGTGTATACACGTCGAACGACACCGGCCCCTCCTCCGGCTTCTACCTCATCTGCAGATCCTCTCATGGCTCCTATTGCTGAATCTTCAGATCCGACAAGGGTAAACGCAGTTCTACCCTCCATCTCATTTCCAATTTTGTTTCATTATCTCGTCTTTCTACCTCACATCGCCAGTTTGCTTCACTTTTGTCCTCTATTTCCATACCTAACAATGTTCAAGAAGCTCTTAGTTCACCTGGATGGCGACGGGCAATGGAGGAGGAACTTTCTGCTCTTCAACATACTCAAACGTGGGAACTTACTACTCTCCCACCTGGTAAGCATG